TGGCCGTGTCGTGTTGACCGCTTGTTTGATCGGTCACTTGAACGCTCACATTGAAGTGTTCACCGAAATTTTCGATGCTCATCTCTTGTGCATTCTAAAAAAACTTCAATTAATTAATTAACAACTTCCTTCAATTAATTAATTAATTAATTATGCGCTAAGATACAAAAAAACTGAGGCAGCATGCAGCAGTAGCAGCAGCAACTTACAATAACGCTGAGCACGGCACATTCTGGATCAATATCGAACACCGACTGATGATCGTTGAGGTTGAAACGTAAATGTGACGGTTGGCCACTCGTATCAGTGGTCGCATGATCGGCTGTTAATCTGCTGTTAAGTTCATCTGCAGGTGCTGCGGCAACTGGTGACCAAGCCAAAGCATCCATAATCACCAGATGATTTGGATCTAGAGTGGATTTCTCACGTAAACGTAACGACTGCACTGCATTCACAAATTTCGGTGCTCCATTATGCAACAGTCTAGCTGCTGCTGGTGCTGCTGGATTTGTAAATGCAATGTTCACGGCTACATCGAAAGCTGGCGGCCAGTTTAGAGACGACGACGACGACCACGTCGTCGTCGTTGATGAGGATGAGATGGCCGCCGCCCTGTTCTTGCTCATACTCTCATCTTGGGCACGAACCAAAAGTGTGATTTTGGGCGACGACGGCGACGACGACGACGACGACGCCAGTGCACGAGAAATGAGCAGCCGCAGCCGCTGTTGGTTTCTTAAGCATTCTAAATCATTCCCAACTCGAACTGACGAACTAATACTACTAGTAGGAGGTGAAGCCACCACAACACACTCATCATCATCCAAACTGCTATTCATCCAAAGCACATCAACTGTATTGTCCACTTGGTTCGGTCGTAGTGTGAAGCTGTAAGCGGAAAAATTATTTTGAGTGAGGATTGTGCTGATAGTACTGTTGAATTAAATGAAATTAAAATTAAAATTTAAGAAAATCCAAAAACTTTAAATTGTGGCTGGCGGCCACAAGCTAAACAGTCAATCGCCTACTATTTTGATTGAGCGCCGAATAGTGAGAAACGCATTCGATCGACAGTCGCTCCGTTGATCAACTGAAAGAAGGAGAAACATTGGAAACTATTAAAAAGCTGATGATCACTAACTGATCATAATAATACAATGATCTGATCGGAACATTGATAATAGAGCTGTATTGATTGATAATACTGATTGTGAGATAAGGATCCCCTCCTCCCCCCCCCCCCCCCCCCCCCCCGTTCATTCGATTTGCTTTTTGTGACGGTGCTCAGCGCTTGTTTTACTAGAAGATAACACGAGACGAATGGGAAACGAGCGCTGAAAATCACACACCCGAATTGAGCCGATTTGCTGCGGCGAGTGCGAGTAATCATTTGATAGATCCACATCGAAACGGTATTCTGGGCGATCGAAAATCTCCTTTGGCCACTCTTTTGCCACATGAATAAACAACTCGAAAGCACCACCACCACCGCCGTCATGCCTTGTTGAGCTGATCAACGACGCATGATCACGATCATTCGATGAATTCCTAACCGCTTCCCAGGGTTCTGCTTCAATCTGCATTTTACACACAAAACACAATAAATTCCACTTACTCTAAAAATGAGCCAAGCAAAATCTTCTCACTCACATGCAGTTTGATATGATCGATATTCTTGATCGTATCGGAATTGTCCAATATAACGTCGAACTGCTCACCAGCATGCAACTTAGGCTTAGACAGTGAAAACGCATTCGATAATTCACTTTGACGTATACGCACCAGAAACACCTCATCTGCTGCTCCTTCCTGAATCCAGCATCGATCAATCAATCAACCAGTCAATCAATCAATCAATCAATCAGTAATTTCATATGAATCATAATAGCACTGATAATAATAATAATCAATAATGCAATTGTTTCAATATGTGCGTATAGGCAGTCGAATGGGTCAGATCAGATCAGATCAGATCAGATCAGATCAAAAAAACTGTTGATGAGATCAAAACATACTGCTGCTGATGTCGCGAGAATGATGGGTGAACGAAACGGTAGCGCATGATGTGTAGGGAAATTGCTTGGGATTGTTACAGTGGCTTCAGCCATATCAAACACATTAATTAGTGGTGGTGGTGGTGGCTTGGCAAGAACTGAAATGAAATTTCAATCTATCTATTTAGCGTGTGTCTGTCCGTGTCAAAGCATTAGCTATAAAAATTTAATTATTTATTTATTTATTCAAAAAATAATTACCTTCAGAAGATGCAGTTAATGCTGCTGCTGCTGCTGCTGCTTCAACTCCACTCTTATTCAGTAACAATAATAATATTAATGATAGGTAAATGAATTGAATGAATCGGAACGAGTTAAGAGTGGCAGCAGCAGCAAATTTTGACTGAACAAATTTTTGACTGCGATAAATTTTTTTATTAGTATCATTTCTAGTTAAAATGGCGGTGGTGGTGGCGGTAGCAATACTATAGGAACGCCATGAATATGAAGAAGAACAAGCAGAGGAAGCAGTCAGCGGGCTACTAGCAGCTAGTGTTGTTGAATTCTTTTTTGCAAAATGATGAAAAATCTTGAAAATGTTTAAAATACTGAGCAAATTCACAAACGCAGTGAATAGTTGTGCCGGCAGTGATAACGATCTGATAAGATTATCATTATCAGTGCTTCTAGTGTTCAGCACATTCGGTAAGCAATAGCAACAACAGCTACAGCAACAATTACAAGCGGAATAACAGCAGCAGCAGCAGCATCGGATTAGTAAGCGGATTGGATTTCGATAAATATCTTGTTGCGTTCGATAAAAACGCAACATAATGTACTTGTTGTGATGACCACCGACGGTAGCGGGCAGCCAGCTAAAGTCGAATGAACTTAGTCTATGATCTATGTATTGATCCGATTGGTGATCACTGGTGATGATTACTGCGATGGTTCTTAATCGAATACCAATAATGATGTGTTAATCGAATATGTAACAATAACACTAGTATGTTGTAATAATAGTAATAATAATATTAGTAGTAGTATTATTGTTGAACAATACAAGAATATCACTAAAGAATTGTGATTTAGACAAGGAGGATATGGATATAAATAATCCACATGGATGGTGATGTGCCCAAACGTTTGTTTGATTGGCTGCTGCTGATGATGATGGTGATGAGTGGTCGTCTTAATCTCGCTGTTAAATGACTGAGTGCAAAGGAAGGGATGAGATGGGAGATGGACGACGCAAGGACAGCACAATAAAAGGAGACCAATTACGATGTGAAATTAATTAATTAATATATTGTGTTATATTGTTGTTGTTGATTTTCAGTTGATGAAATTTAGTGCCGTCACTTTACTTCTTAAAATTAGTGATAATTATATTCAGCAATTCATTCGTCTAATCTCCTCTGTGTGATTAGATTTGTTGACTTGCCGTCGCCCATCCCTACCTGCCTGCCTACCTGCCTACCTGCCTTGTAACCAAGCAAGCAAGCAACCTTACCTGTGCATCAGAATAATGGCCTTCTTAGATCCATCTAGATCAGTCTTAGGTCAGTCTCCTTTCTTCGTTCTCTTTCTCAAAATCAGGTCATCAAAACTATCGCATCCATCTCCACTGAATATACGCCGTATTTTGTATAGGTATATGTGTATGTATGTATGTATGTATGTATATTTGTGTATATTCAATGAAATTATTCATTAAATTCCAAGCAAATTTCATTTTTTCGCATGCAATTTCAGTGCAGTTTTATCTCGTCTTCTTGTCTTATATGATGTATTTCAACCGTCATCATCATCATTAACTCCCTTATACGACGACCACCACCACCACCACCATATCATCAGATCAGATCAGATTATCTTCATTGTTTCATTATGTTCCAAATCGATCAATCGATATCACATCCATATGTGTGTATGTATGTATGTATGTATGTAATCACATTTCATATGTACCAATATGTTCTGTGCATAAATCGTACAAATATACAATTATCTATAAACGAAGATTTTAAAATCAATCAATCAATCAATTGAATCCATGAGATCAATCAATCAATCAGTCGATTGAAAAGTCGGTCGAACTTCCAAACAGACGTGTGGATGCATGATGGCTGCAAGGATGAACCACAATACTGACTGCTGCTGCTGCTGCTATGTTCAGTCAAAGGGCAACCAGCTGCTGTCACAGCAATTAGACCACCCAGGTGACCACTAATTAGTACACCGATGACGACGAGAAATTTGTTGCAGGTGACACTGATAATTTTTGATAATTAATTAAACACTGCAAATCATTAATTAACTTTTCTTTTTTAATCATTCCATTTTGGGTGTGTGTGTGTGTGTGTGCATTTAAGAATGGTGCTCAATTTGTCAATTAATTAATTAATTAATTTATTTATTTCGTTCATCATTCAAACAAATCACAATCAGCAGCAACAGCCAACAACAACAACCACTTATTCATAATATATAGGTGGTCAAAACGGCCATTATTTATTAAAGAAAATTCCAACGAACACTGCAATAAATATGGTGTGATCAGTGTTTTATTGAGTTGATCGGCAGTTGTGCTTTCAATTGATTTGATCCCGATCCGATCCGATCAAATCAAATCAAATCAAAATTTTCATCAATCAATCTGTCATCAACCCCACTAATAAATCACATCTCCATCTCCTTTCTCCAATTATCTCCGTCTTCACGGAATTCTTTCCGAACCCAAACAATTGCTCAATAATTCTTTCGAATTTTCTTATTCCCATTCGGCTCACTCAATAAAGTGATTGATCATCGTTAAAATTGCATTGCATTCTATACAGCTACAAAATATTTTTATATTTTGTATATATAATAAAGTCAGCATAATATACAATCAGCAATAAAATAATATATGATACAATTTTTATCCAGGTAATAATCCAGGTAATAATACAATTTTTGTATTTGTATATAATGTATATATAATAATATAATAACAAAAATATAATAAAGCAATCAGTGCCTCTGAATTGATAATCTATAATAAGATGACTTATGAAATTTGACCGACTAACTACTACTCACTTATTTAGTATGGTATACTAATCAAAGTTTATTTCAATGAAGCAATAACAACAGCAATCAATCAATCAATCAATACATAACAATAACAACAGCAATCAATCAATCAATATATAATAATAAAATGAGCACTGAATTGATTCAATCCAATGCAAACCAATGACAAAATCAAGTTCCATATCAATGAACACTCCAAATCAACACATTCTTCACAAATTTTGCATATGCCATACAGGTGTAGGTGCAGGTGCGTTATACTATAGTCGAGACTAATCTTCGGCATGATCAACCCAAACCTTTAGGCATAGCATTACTGCTAAGCCTAAAAGCTCAGAATGAAACTATTCCCAGTCAACGGCAAAACGCCTGCCTCCTACACTATGGAATTGTACCAATACCACCAACAATAGTAACAGTAAAATAATAATAATAATAATAACCATAATAATAATAATAATAACAATTAATAATAATAATAACAATTAATAATAATAATAATAATAATAATCCGGATGGATAACTGCAGAGCAAAAT